ACAGCTCGCGTTTTTGCACATACTTTGCGCTTTCATTGTTTATTTTCTTTGGTACATACTTAATAAATTTTTTTTACAATTAGAAAAAAATTTAAATATTGCATTCATGATCAATTATCATAATAAATCTTATAACTGTTATTTCGACAAAACGATGTAGTTTAATTCGTTATATACAGGGTGTCCTAGACCACCCGTACACCCTTTTTCTTTCAAAAACTAAGCATTTTAGAGAAAAACGTTTTGAACAAAAATTTTATGGTTTTGAGGGGGCCATAACATCCAATTAGTGTAAGAGAAACAAATAATTGTTTTAAAAAATTCATTGTAAATAATTACATACTTCATCTTAAAAACAATTATTTTTGTTATACTAATTGATTTGTCTTATTATTCTGTACATAAAAGTATTACTGTAAGATTATCGAAAACTAAATATTTTACGAGATATTTTAATTTTTATATCAAAATACGTTAGAATAAAATATAAAATAACTCAAAAAGTACTTAATGAAAAAATACTTTATCATAGTGTTTTGGAAAGCTCTCAAAATGGGCTATAAGAATATGCAATAAAAAATATAGTAATCTATTTAAAAAATTAAATGTGACCTTCATGTGACCTTCAAATAACTCTTCAAGGTCAAACCAATGGTATCATCTTATGGCCCCCTCAAAACCATACAATTTTTATTCGAAACGTTTTTCTCTAAAATGCTTAGTTTTTGAAAGAAAAGGGGTGTACGGGTGGTCTAGGACACCCTGTATATGCGAGAGTATTGAAAACTATTTACTAGATGGTAGATTATTTTAACACACAATCAAAATATTGTTAAAATAACGATTGAAATACAAATGCATCTTGTTGATTTATATAATTTATTGAATAAATCAACATGATGGTGCATTTATATTAAATAATAACGTAACAAATTTTGATACTATTAATACAAATACACTATCTTGCTGACTTATATAATTTATTTAATAAATCAACAATCTAATACATTTGTATTGATTAACAACATAGTCAATTGATACTTTCAATATATTCATTCGTATGCATCACCTTGTTGATTTATATAATTTATTGAATAAATCAACAAGAGAGTATATTTGTATTAATTATAAAGTAATTAATTTTGATACTATTAATACAAATACACCATCTTGCTGACTTATATAATTTATTTAATAAATCAACAATATAGTATATTTGTATTAATTATAAAGTAATTAATTTTGATACTATTAATACAAATACATCATCTTGCTGACTTATATAATTTATTTAATAACTCAACAAGCTAGTACATTTGTATTAATTAACAACATAGTCAATTGATACTTTCAATACATTCATCGTATGCATCATCTTGTTGATTTATATAACTTATTGAATAAATAAACAAGATAATACATTTGTATTAATTAATAACGTAATCAATTTTGATGCTATTAATGCAAATACACCATCTTGCTGACTTATATAATTTATTTAATAAATCAACAATATAGTATATTTGTATTAATTATAAAATAATTAATTTTGATACTATTAATACAAATACACCATCTTGCTGACTTATATAATTCATTTAATAAATCAACAAGATAATGCTTTTGTGTTGATTAACAGCATAGTCAATTGATACTATCAATACAAATTCATCATCTTGTTGATTTATATAATTTATTCAATAAATTAATAAGATGATGCATTTGCATTAATTAATAACGTAATAAATTTTCATACTATTAATGCAAATATGTCATCTTGTTAATTTATATAATTTATTTAATAAATCAACTAAATAGTGCATTTGTATTGACAGTATTAAATGGACTATGTTATTAAAGTTATATTAATTAATTTATGCAGTTTAACTAACAGAAAATTTAATTTAATAGACTGCACTTATTCAATTACATAATAACAAATTATTTATTTCATATTTAGTTAAAGCGAATACTTATTTGTTTGAGAGAAGTACATATATAATTAATTTAATTAAATTCTTCAGAAGTATCATACTTTTGAAGAAAAGATTTCAATTTATAAAACAAAAGCATCAAGTATTGATTCGATTAATTATATCATTGAATTAACAAAATAAAATTTAACTGCATCGATGTTGTTGAATCAACAATATTTTTTTCTCAGTGTCGGAAAATACGCATTTTCGAAAAAAATGTTTCATACAAAAATTGTAGGATTTTATGTAGCGCATTACATAGTAATATTATTATGACCTTGAATAGCGTTTTCAAGATCACGTAAAGGTCACATTTAATTTCTTAAATGGCAACTTCTATTCTTCTTTGCATATTCTTGTAGCTTACCTCAAGAGCTTTTCAAAACACTATAATAAAGTATTTTTTCATTAAGTA